TGCTTCGTTATTATTATTCTGGGTTACTTAATTCAATTACATTTAATTTCAACATATTTCTTATCATCCTATCTTTATATGTCATGTGTGCACAATTCGATGTCAGAATAATTAGGGGATTGAAGTTTTTCAAAGGGAGTAATTTGCATTCAGTTGTGTATCATCTGTGTAAGAATGTCGTCCTATACGCCATGATTATCGATAAGTTGTCCTAAATTCTTAATATACATTACAGAAAGGACAGGTCCAAGGACTGATCCTTGTTGAACTCCTGAATGATCTGTACCGGTCCTACACGGGGTTGCTGGAAGGCGCTTGCATGAGGCATTATCAAGCCTAATAATCCAGGCAATGAATGATTTTATTGGAAATATGATGTCAGAAATTAAGTCATTTTCTTCAAGTTTGACCTGTAGAGTCCACAAACAATTGTGGACGGACAGACGGGCGTCCGGACGAACAGGGGCGACGACAATAGTGGAAATGAACACTAATGCTAAAATATATCAATGAATTATTCGGATTCTTAATAGGATTCCCTCCTCTTATAGCCTTCTATCCATGAACAATCCCACTAAGTTTTAACAAGCTTCGTTCCAAACGTGTTTCTGTATCGTGATGCGAATTGAAGGACAACTCCACAAAACGCGTTCGCAAAAATTAGCCAAAAATCTATTTTAAGAATTCAGTTCTCTATAAAGTTGATGGCCAAACAGGTTAAAAATTGCAAATTGTATCATAGCCGATATTAGATAACCGTACCGTAACACGGCTAATCGCAAGGTGGGGGTAACCGTTGACAATCAAGTAGCATTTTGATCGGGATTAGCTGTGTGAGGCGGACTCAAGTCACACACAATTGGTTTAAAATGTCATCACATTTAGTCCTAAATCAGTTAGTAATTTGTGAAAGCCCACTTATGTAATCGTTCATAACTGAAGCCTCTACCATGTTAACCAGACTTCGTAACAAACGGGAATATCTGAAAGTGATTATTAAAAATCGTTGAAAATCAATGAGCTTTTCAATTTGACAACCCATATCAATTTAAACAAGCCAACAGTGAGGTTTATGTCCCCCGACGAAATCTCAAAATAAATAGATGACACATTTTAATTTATCGCACATTTATTTTTTTCAAAAGTATCAAGTAATCAAACTGATTATCAACTTTACACTAAGTTTCACCACTCTCTATCAGATAGAATCAAAGCTATCTTGTCCTAAAGCATTGACCAATAAAATTGTTTAGCTCTGCTTAGCTTTAGCTCGAAATGTTAATCATTGAACTCAGTCAAGATATTTCATTCTACCTCAATTAAAAGCAGAGTTGTTATGTTCCAAAGTCTTGACCATTCAAATTACTTATCTCTTCTTTGCCTAAGCAGAAAATTCTCATCATTGAACTTAGTCAAGCTAATGATATAATGAATATATACTCGGAGTTTCATCACTCTCACTTAATTATAACCAAAGTTATCATCAGATTGCTTATCTCTGCTTACCGTAAGCAGACAATGTTTATCATCGAACTCCATCAAGGCATTCACCTAATGAATGTCTACACCCAGTTTTAACATTCTACCTCAATTAGGAGGGTTACTGTGTTTCAAAGTATCGGCCAATCAAATTAATTATCGCCCTGCTTACCCTGAGCAGAAAATGCTCATTATCGAACTTAGTCAAGGTATTGATGTGATAAAACTATACACCAGGTGTCCTCACTCTCACTAAATTAGAACTAAAGTTATCGTGTCCCAAAGCATCAAACAATCAAATTGCTTATCTCTGCTTACCCTAAGCAGAAAATTCTCATCTTCGAACTCCATCAAGGCATTCACATAATAAACACCTACACCAAGTTTGAACATTCTAGCTCAATTAGGAGAGTTATTGTGTCCAGAAAAGTGTGACGGGCAGACAGACGAACCAATTTTAATAGTCCCCTGCTTTCTTCGAAAGGCGGGGGACAAAAAAAATGGATTATTGTAGCCCTATTGTACTTACAAGAAATTTGAACCAAGGACGGTATGGACGACATCAATCTTGTCAATATACAACAATTGTATCGTAGAATAGTCGTTCGGATGGGACAAAGACCTGAGGTCCCGTGTACAAATTGGCGTGCACGTAAAAGGTCCCATAACATTTGGAATTCGATGTCAGAGTAGGCCGTAATGCCGCTGTCCGGGCAAAATTACCCTCATAGTACACTGTATGGCGTATGCCCGTCGTCATTAGCCCAGTTGGGAGCAGAACAGTAGGACATTAAACCCCATTTCATTTTTATCACAGAAGATTGTGTGTGCTTCCTCTCACTGACCATTCTTCACAAACAAGTCCATTAAGACACCTGCGTTTCTGTTTTCTTTATTTGGAAAGATGCGTGTTCAGTATTTTATTGTCAACATTTGAGAATAATAGGTCATTATTGCATGGGCAATGGAACTTTTCGTCAAATCTTGAGAACGGCGCCCCCACCCGGGTACGCTGAAGAATATGAGGTTCTGGGTGACCGAGACTAACTTTATATTTACCATATTAAACTAACTTGAAACTATTTTTCGGGTCGTCTGTTTATTTGCCATCCATTTTGGTTTAGTTACGTATGTTTATCACAAAACCTTAATTATTAAATGTGAACTAAAATGCAATTTTGAAAAACAAAATAACTTTTACACAATGTTGTACCCACGTAATACATCAGGACCAACAACGCATTTTCGATCGTTTACAAAACTAACCTTTTTTCAAACCTCTCGTGCGTTGTCACAACTTTGCATATCTACACAAGTTTAACGTTCAATTTACGCCCATAATACAATATAAATAGAATATAATAAATAAATAATTGTTTTTAGCATATGAACATATTATAACAATAGTTAAAATATTTAACAATAACCACTTCACATTACAGAAATGTTTAATCATGTGGTTTACATGTACAATGTATATTAATTCTATTTTTTTTTTTTTTACCAAAAATAACAGATTGATAATTTTTTTTAGAACAACCTTTATATTCGTCACTCCACTGCAAAACTCCTTGTATTTAGTGTACTACAGATTTATGTTAATGAACAGGATACTAGTAGAACCCTGACTGTTAAATTTAATTGGTGACAATTGCAAATGACTGAAAAAAAAAGGTCTTGTTCATGATGTTAATGTCATATTTTTGTACTCTTTATTAGTTGGTCCAAAAAATGACAAATAAAATCATTAGCGACCAGATCTTTGGTTTTCTGACCTGTCCCTCACAAAAGAAAAGTGTTCTGGGTGACCTTTATCCTGTTTTAAGTTTTAAGAATTGGTAATCTGTCTTAAAGCTATTATTCCTATGAAATGATTAGGTTAAACATTCCACCCTTAAAACTGATTTTATCTGAAAATATGAGTCTACTATCTAGCTATAGCCATAAACTGAGGCATTTAATAAATTTGTTGCATAAAAATAAAAGGAAAAAACAATCTTGTCTCATTTCTATTCCTCCTGGTCTATTAAGGGGTGAGGCTACCCGAAAAATGCTTTCTGAAATTCCAAAGCTAGTGAATTGAAGATGGCTCAAGTAGTTAGGAAATGTAATAAACAAGGGAAAACTAACATTAAAAATAAAGAGAAAAAAAGTTGTTGCCAGGGTAACACATTTTTTTGAAAAAAGTATGAAAAATGTAGGTACACCATATCTCTGGCACTAATATAGATAAATGTCTCATTTTCGGACTGCTCATTGTTTAATGATAACCCCCAAACCAGACAGAGTTTTTCTCTAAAATTTTTACAGTTTGTTGGAAAATGGTGTTTAAAACATTGACCGCACCACAATATTTTGTCTTTGGAGAAATATTTTGATAACTTTTGAAATATTTTAAATGATAATTCAAATTGCTTTCTGTCTGATTCCGTGGTAGATTTTAGTTTAGATACTCTGCAAATTTGGTGAAGATATCTTAATTAGTTACAGAGATATAATGTACCTACGTTTTTCTTAACTTTTCCCCCAAAATATGTTACTCTGGCAACAACTTTTTTTTAATGCTAGCTTTCCCTTGTTTATTACATTTCCTAACTACTTGTACTATTTTCAATTGAATAACTAACACTTCAGAATAAAAAATTTCGGATAGCCCCCCCCCCCCTTTAAAAGTATAAGCAGAATGATCTTTTTTTACAAACTTAAATCAACAGTACAATAATTAATAAAAGTCAAGAATATCCAACTCTTTGTTATTTCTTATACACATAACACAAGCTATCTTATGTTCATTGTATATATACATATTAATACTGATACACAATATAGCTTTCTGTCAACACAATAATATAAAATTACTGTGAGCATGATATAATCACTAATGGCCAGAAGTTACATTTAAAGCATGGCAGTTTTAAAAAAAAAACTCAAAAAGTAGAATTCACCATTAATTAGCCTCTGATGGCTGACTTCCCAGATGGTCACTCTATATTTTTTAAATTTTCATTGAAATCAATAAAATAATACAGATAAACTTTTCTAATTCTGCTATTCTCATGCTGCTACAATTAACGAAATGAGACCAGTCTGATTCACAGCTTGCTCATTGATTAGATAGCTTGATGTCAAGCACTGTGTAAAACTATTTGTTGACTTTTCTTAGGCTAACCTTTATTATTTAGAATTAGTATCATTATTTAGATGCATTAACACCGGACAAGAACAATTTACAAATCCTTCATGTGGGCTGAATGTATCTTAAATAATAAATGATGATACCAGTAATCAAATGAACTCTTTTAAGTTTATGATTGATTAAACTTATCCATAATAAATTACCTTTATTTAATCAAGACAAACAAAACAGTTTTAATGCTCCTTCTAATAACTAATAATGATGTATGTAATTTGTATTGCGATTTTACTAAACAATGATGTTATACACAATTACACTGTATCAAAAATATTAATTTTATTATCATTTTCCAATTTTACATATAAATTAATAGTATTTTGTTTGATCATGATGCTGATTGAGTGCAGGTTCCTGGTGGTTTAAGAGTATCACTAGATTTTGTAGATAATGGTCCTGCTGCCACATTTAAACTAGATCTGAAAAATAAATATGAAACGCAATGATATAAATCGTTTGCAAATATTAAAGAAGCAATCTGGCCGTAGGCCAATAAACATTCTGATTAAAATTTAACAAAAATAAGGAATGAAAAGTGTTCTTTAGATACTAAATATTTTTTGAAGTCAAACACAACTTGCCAACTAAAGGGGTCATCTTCTTGTAATAGGTATACAAGGTAAATCAGTGAAGAATTAAAACGGTAATTTACGTTATCACTATCAGTGGGCAATAACACTGGAACTACTTTAGCAAAAACGCAACCATGTTAGATACAATCTTGTGTGATAATTCAGGCAAGGATGGTGAATAAACAAACAGAAAGTTATGTGAGCTTGATGGCCATCACTTGCAGGTTATGATAGATATATAAATATATATATGTATGACACAAGTGTCTAGATAAATAATGTTATATAATACCTGTTATGTTTAAGATGACTCTTAACTAGATGACCAGCAGCTAAAGCGGACATTAAAGATAGTTCTCCTGCCATTACTGTTGAACAAACAATTTCTGCTAATAATCTAGCATTATCACCCGGTCTTTCTAAACTTGCTCCTTTTACACCCAACATCTAAAATATAATCAACTAAACTTAAACACACAGAAAAACATCTCTGCAAAATGAGTTGGATATTTACTATATGAAAGTTTGAAATTCAAAGGGTTCATCCTTATACATGTCATGCCGAAAATTCTGTGAAATCTTTAGAAAAGCTTTGATTATCCAGACATCTGATTAATCAAGGTCAAAAGTATTATTACTCTGTAGTCTTAGCAAATTAATGGAACAAAATTACATGTAGTTTTAATTACCTGTAGACATGCTGCTTGTGGTGGTAAAACTGTACCTCCACCAACAGTACCTAGTTCTATAGAAGGCATTGTACATGTTATATGTAAATTCTCATTGTTATCACCAGTTGCTTCCATTAATGTCATACAATTAGAACTAGCTACATTCTGAGCAGGATCCTACAAACAATTTTTGATTATTAATTCATGCCATTCTAAACTATGGTATTATGCATTCTTCATGATATGCAGTAAACAGTAGATACAGATAATATTAATACTTTGTTTTATTTTAATTTCTCCCTTCCCCATATACCCACATTTATGTGATGTGCTGTAATCCATTAGATGTAAACATTTTCTTACAAAATTGATTTGTATGGTTTCAGAATCGTTTATTCAGCTCAATGAATATGAAAAATATAACATAATAAGACTCACCTGTCCAGTAGCGATATAAATAGCTGTAACTATATTAGCAGCATGTGCATTAAAACCACCAATACTACCAGCCATTGCTGATCCTATTAGGTTTTTGTTAATATTTAATTCTACAAGGGCTGGTACAGTAGTTTTTAATACAGATGTAACTATTTTAGCTGGTATTATGGCTTCAGTTACGACTGATTTCCCTCGCCCTTCAATCCTATAATACAAATTTCATCCTGTCATTAGATTTTACAACTAAATATATATATACTATGCTCGTATTGTGTTCCAATCATGCCAAGAAATCATCAAATGATCTATTTATAAAGTGACTAAGTCTTGTGTATAACAGCTGAGCTCAGTCATCTGAACAGTAAACTTTCTGAATATATGTCACATTAATTAATTGCACATTTATCTTTTTCAAAAGTATTGAGCAATCAAACTGATTATCTATACTTAGTCTAAGCATAAAATGTTCACGATCAAACTCGGTTAAGGTTTTGAAGTACCTGGTAGTGAAACTATACACTTAGTTTCAACACTCTCCATCAGTTAGAATCAAAGTTATCTTGTCCCAAGGCATCAACCAATGAAACTGCTTAGCTCTGCTTAGCTTTAGTGGGAAATGTTTATCATTGAACTTTGTCACCTAATGAATGCCTGCACCAAGTTTGAACATTGTACCTCGAAGTCCTGAGAGTTATTGCTTATCACTCTGCTTACCCTGAGCAGAAAGTGTTCATTATCGAACTTAGTCAAGGTATTGATGTAATGAAACTATGCACCAATTTTCATCACTCTCACTTAATTAGAACTAAAGCATCAGCCAATCAAATGGCTTATCTCTGCTTACCCTGAGCAGAAAATACTCATTATCGAATTTAGTCAAGGTATTGATGTAATGAAACTATACACCAATTTTCATCACTCTCACTTAATTAGAACTAAAGTTATCGTGTCCCAAAGCATCAGCCAATCAAATGGCTTATCTCTGCTTACCCTATGCAGAAAATGCTCATCGTCGAACTCCATCAAGGCATTCACCTAATGAACGCCTACACTAAGTTTGAACATTCTACCTCAATCAGGAGAGGTATTGTGTTCTAAAGTCTTGACCAATCAAATTGCATATCGCTCTGCTTACCCTAAGCAGAAAATTGTCATTATCAAACTTAGTCAAGGTATTTATGTAATGAAACTACAAACCAAGTTTCATCATCGTTAGCCAAAAATTGAATAGCCTTCGTTAACGTCCGATAAAATAATGTCACAATTTTTTTAGTATTCCACCTCCAAAATGCCCCAACTATAAATCAAGTTTCATCGTGGTTAGTGAAAAATTGAACAGCCTTCGTCAACGTCCGATAAAATAATGTCAGATTTTTTTAGTATTCCACCTCCAAAATGCCCAAAGTCTATTGACTTTATCAGCTCTCGTCCATCTGATAATATTATATCCTTGAATGATGAAGTGATATCAACTTCCACAATGGGTCTGCATGTACCTCAAAAGTCTGCAGCAGAGAAATATTTCGAAAAACAAAAAATCTTAAGAGCATTTGGAAAAGGTAGATCTTTTAGGGATGAATGGAAATTTTCATATCCTTGTGATATCAGTAACCGCTTGCTCACAATTCCTGTGGCAACTGCAGACTGTGAAAGAGGGTTGAGTTGACAAAATATCATAAAAAAAACCAAATACAGAAATTCACTGTGTAATTTAATGTTACTCCAACTATTGGGGAAGGGCATGTGCCATACAGTGGGCTATGAGCCACTGTGGCTCCCAAAGATGAAAGGAAATGAAGATATAGATTGTATTTTTACCAATTTATTGCAGCAGGTTTTTTATCTGTACAATAATTACCACTTAAACTAACAATCTCCATTTCTGGAAATTTTTCAGCAATAAAATTTAAAGCTTTTTCTGAACCCTGCAACAACAAATGAAATGAAATGGTGTTAAATGGCAGGTCAGCACCAACCGGACTATATTGCAAGAGCAAAACATGGTAAATGCAAAAATAAATTATTTCATTAACTCATTTTGTTTATCATTTAAAGTCTATAGATATATATCCTTGTCAAACCCGTCCTAATACATAATTTAAGTTAATAATTTTATTTTTCCTGATAATTATAAAATTATTTGATATATAATTAACAGTTGCATCGATGACCTAATATGCTCAAGGAGACACATCTGGTAAAGGATGTATATAAACTCATGACCGGGTACAACTAAACCACAAAGAGTAGATTAACGAAACTTTATAGGGTACCAGATATGGTTAGTGGGTTATATTCTGGCAGTTTGATGGACTTTCATCAACAGGTTTTTAGTATAGGGTCTTAGTGCTGCAATCTACCAAAATAGCTCATTTTATTTTATTTATATTTCACCCACTGCGGGTATATGAATTTTTTGGAATGCTGACTAAAAAGGCAATGATCTATAGTATTAAGATTAAGTTTTAGGTGGCACTCAACCCGTTAAATAGTAAATAATCTCCATTTTTGTCCAAAAATAACAAACAGTTTTCGTCAAAAAATGACAAATAAAACCCACTTTATTTACACACTGAAAAATGTAACAGGGCACTGGAAACCAAATCAACGTGGGTTCCAGTTCCATTAAGAAAAAAATGTTTCTTTCTATTAATTGGCAGCCAATAGAGTGATTTCAGAACAGGAGTAATATGAGAGTATTTTGATGATTTGGTAACAATTCAAGCTGCGGTATTTTGCACAAGTTGATTTTTTTCAAATATTGGCACTAGATGTTACAGTAGTCAGTCCTTGAGAATACCAAAGAAAAGACAAGTGTAGCAGCTGCTTCCTGGCTAATCTTATATGACCAATGTTCCTGGACTGAAGATAACATTTTCGACAAATTTCACTTATGTGACTGTCCATGCTTAAATTGGACTCTAAGAGGGCACCTAAGTTCTTCAGTGTCTGGTGGTACAAGTATTGCATCTCGTACAACCACATCATTTGAAGTTGGATTTTCCAGATGTATATTTGGACCAAATAACCAGCAGTTGCCAGGTAAGATACACCCACATTTTCCAAGGGTTGGATAGAGAACAAGCTAAAAACAAAAGCGATTTTTCGTACAATCAGGGGCCATATCAAAAGGGACTGAGATCTTTGGAATATAAAGATATATTCTAAGTTTCATCAAAATCGGATAAAAATTATGACCTCTAGAGGGTTCAACCTTTGTATTACATACTTTTACACAATTTGCGTACAAAGAGCGGCCATTTTGTCAGGCAGATTCGTTTTGATTTTCCCGAAATGCAAATTTAACCTTCATTATGGTGGCATGTTGATACATTTAAATGTTTATTTAAAATCGGATAAAAAAACTGTGACAATACACAAGCTAAAAAACATAATTTTTCGTACGATCAGGGGCCATACTCCAGGAAGTTACGATCTGATATGCGCAAATAGCAAAAGGAACCAAGATCTTTGGGACATAACATATATTTTAAGTTTCATCAAAATCTGATAACAATTGTGACTTCTAGAGGGTCCACAGCCTTGGTATGACATACTTTCACACTATTTGCGTACAAGGAGCGACCATTTTGTTTGGCAGTTTCGGTCAGATTTTTACGAAATACAAATTCAATCTTCATTGATGCGTAACAGTTATATATTTAAACGGTTTTTAAAACTGAATACACATTGTGATTTCTAGCAGGTCCACAAGCTAAAATGTGATTTTTCGAACATTCAGGGGCCATAATCCAGAAAGTTACGTTCGGATATTATCGAAAGGAACCAAGATCTTTGTGATATCATGGACCGTATATAGATGGACAGGTGATGTGATTTTTGACATTGCATGATTTTATACAGATTACTTTCTCGAATTCCTCCTTAGAATTTACGGTATTCTTATAGTTACATGGTTATTTTTCAACCTGATAAGTATTCGTAGTGATAAATTTCTACAGTTGCAAATTGTGAAATGATCGATTTCAATTTTGTAGTTTTTGTAAGCATTTTGGTTTTGCTTAATACACCAAATTCCCACATTTATGAAGGATTTTAAAATTATGAAAATAAAGTTCAGGTATAATACTGTCCGGAATGATGATTAATTGTGCAGAAGTAAAGATAGGTTGCCAGACAACGAAACATACGCCCACAGCAGCTAAATCGTCCGGGCAGTCAACAAGAGTTGTCGCATATTTTTACTTTTTTCGGTAATGAAACATTTATAATACATTAAAATCTGATTAAGAGTAACAACTCATTAAGTAATTATCAGAAAACCATTAGAATTTGTTTGGTTTTTATAATGTTCTTCCCCATGCTAATGTTTAGTATACAAAACTTTTAACATCATGGATTTGGCTGTGCAAGTCATAAAAATTCATTGAAAATCAATATCCTTGTTCGTCTCAAGATCTTAAACTCTGTGTATCTATCTGAAGTCAATCGGATGATAACTTTAGCCTCTAGAGCGTCCCAAGATTTTCCAAAGTGATCAAGGGCAGTAATTATTGTAAATCGCTGAAAATGAATAGGCTTCTTCGTCTAATGACCTTAAACACTGTACAAAGTCAATTGGATATTAACTTTGACCTCTAAAGCGTCCACAAGATTTTTTGAAGTGATCAAGGGACATAACTCTGGCAGTAATTATCGAAAATCGCTGAAAATGAATAAACTTCTTAGTCTCATGACCTTAAACACTGTGTATAAATTTAAAGTCAATCGCATATAAACTTTAGCCTCTAGAGTGTCCACAAGATTTTTCAAAGTGGTCAAGGGCCATAACTCAGGTAGTAATTATCTGAAATCGCTGAAAATCAATAGGCTTCTCCTTCTTATGACCTTAAACACTGTGCATAAATTTAATTGGATATTAACTTAAGCATCTAGAGCTTGTGGACAGACGGACGGGGGTGACAACATACGATCACATTTAAAAAAAATCCAGACAAGTTGCTAATTACCTTCGATAACATATTCATACCCATAGCATCACCTGTTGATGCTACAAATCTAATATATAATAAACGATAGGTTGCCAGGCAACGAAACATACGCCCACAGCAGCTAAATCGTCCGGGCAGTCAACAAGAGTTGTCGCATATTTTTACTTTTTTCGGTAATGAAACATTTATAATACATTAAAATCTGATTAAGGGTAACAACTCATTAAGTAATTATCAGAAAACCATTAGAATTTGTTTGGTTTTTATAAAGTTCTTCCCCATGCTAATGTTTAGTATTAGTATACAAAACTTTTAACATCCTGGATTTGGCTGTGCAAGTCATAAAAATTCATTGAAAATCAATATACTTGTTCGTCTCAAGATCTTAAACTCTGTGTATCTATCTGAAGTCAATCGGATGATAACTTTAGCCTCTAGAGCGTCACAAGATTTTCCAAAGTGATCAAGGGCAGTAATTATCGTAAATCGCTGAAAATCAATAGGCTTCTTCGTCTAATGACCTTAAACACTGTACAAAGTCAATTGGATATAAACTTTGACCTCTAGAGCGTCCACAAGATTTTTTTAAGTGATCAAGGGACATAACTCTGGCAGTAATTATCGAAAATCGCTGAAAAGGAATAAACTTCTTAGTCTCATGACCTTAAACACTGTGTATAAATTTAAAGTCAATCGCATATTAACTTTAGCCTCTAGAGTGTCCACAAGATTTTTCAAAGTGGACAAGGGCCATAACTCTGGCAGTAATTATCGGAAATCGCTGAAAATCAATAGGCTTCTCCTTCTTATGACCTTAAACACTGTGCATAAATTTAATTGGATATTAACTTTAGCATCTAGAGCTTGTGAACGGACGGACGGGGGTGACAACATACGATCACATTTAAAAAACCCCAGACAAGTTGCTAATTACCTTCGATAACATATTCATACCCATAGCATCACCTGTTGATGCTACAAATCTAATATATAATAAACGACCAGCTTGGGCTATTTGTAGTCTCTGTAACCTTGCAAATCTAGCAATAAAATAATAACCAATGTGTTAATAAATTAAAAAGATAGGTTGCCAAGCAATAAAACATACGCCCACAGCAGCTAAGAAGTCTGAGAAGTCAAAAAGAGGTGTCAAATATTTTTTCTTTTGTTGGTAATGAAAATATTTACAACACACTAAAGTCTGAAGAAGAGTAACAACCTATTATTATGTAAATATCAGAAACCATGAGATTTGTCTTGGCTCGAAGTTCTGCCCCAAGCTAACGTTCAGTATACAAAACATGTAATATTATTAATTTAGCTGTTCTATTTATTAGAAATCGTTAAAAATCAAGAACCATAACTCTGACAATATTTATCAGAAACCATTGGAAATCAACAGTCATTCGGATGATAACTTTGGTCTCAAGAGTCACAAAATTTTTCTGACAGTAATTATCGTAAATCGCTGAAAATCAATAAGATTCATCTCATAACCTTAACCAATGTGTATAAGAGGCACTGACATCGCTTTAAAGGAGCTATTCCAGATATTATTTTCAGTAAAAACTGCTTAATTCTGATTTTCCAAAGAAATATTTATTATTAGTTTTCCACAAGCTTGCCGTAACAGGGTTGTCAAATAAACAACAGGCCAAAATTCTTAATTTGAATTATCTATTGGTAAGCAATTTTGTTGATGTTGACCTCTTATTTTCTGACCAGATAATTATGTCATTTCTATGCATTTTGGTATCTGATCTATATACTTTAACCCACTTGTATAATTAATGGATTCCATGTCAAATACTTAACTGGTTAAATCAAATTTTTTTTTTTTTAAATCAAATTTGTATTTAAGGATCCCATTTGAAATATTTGTAACTGGTTTAATGAAATCATCATAATGTACAAAAGCTGCAGACTAATAAATAAAGTAAATCTTCATTTGGTTAGTACTCAAGAATCATAAACATGTAGTTGTGCATACAACACTATTCTCTACCACATAGTGGGAGGAAATGGGAGTGAAAACTCAAAAAAAAAACCCAACCCAAAAAGCTATTTCTGTTCATCCTCCAATAATAGATGAATGTAGGCCTACCTGCTAGTTGTATTAAAACATTCCTGTACTTGGTCAAAGTTATCTTTATCTTCTAACCAGATTTTGGCTTCACTTGCCATTTTAGCTTTAGGAAACCTTACAACAGGTCCTCTTGTCATACCCTCCCCTATCACAGTGCTTTGTGCCCCACCACTTTGCTGAAAAAACATATTAATTGAAATTATAAATATAATCCTCTGTGATATTAGTTGAAATGACAAATAGAATTAAATAAATCATTTTATATATCCTTCAAAAAATGCAGAAGAATTTCATACAAACTCATTTTAAAGATTACAATCTCTAATGATTTTTTAGTTGAAATTAAAAGTTCAATATCCCAGACTAAAATGCACATATGGACTTTAAGACCAAACAAAATTTCAAGTGGTTTTACCAAAAGCATGCAAGTCAAAAAAATTTCAAATCCTTCATTCTGAACATAATTTTTGGCATCTATAGTTCCTATTACTTTCTATTGATTTCATGCCATGTTTTTTAAGCTTTGATCGAGCCAAAACAATGATTTATTTCCATCCATGAACATTTTGATCAAAATAGCATCTAAACTATGTTTTCCTTTTAATCATCTAGATTACCATCTATAAAAACTATTGTCAGTCCTTATTTTTGTAAAAATTAAATAATAGTAAAAATATTTAATATATCTTACCTCAATTGCTCTACAACCTCTATTAGTACTAGCTACTAAACAACCTTCTGTGGTTGCCATAGGAATATAATATTTTTTATTATTTAATAATAATGGACCGGCGACACCTACAGGTACTGGCATATAACCTATCACATTCTCACAGCAAGCTCCTTCAACCTACAATAGTCAATGTATTATCATTATTGCATTATTAATATAAATTGATAACAGTTCGTAGACTTTCAAAAACATAGGCTGCCGGGCAACAAAACACATACCCGTCAGCAGCGTTGTCCAAGCAGTTATGATCTAAGAATAACTATCAAAATAGTTGAAATTCATTGTGGTTCTTCATTTATATAGGATAAATGAAACCTAGAAACTGCTAATGAGATCTCATAACAAAGGAGAATATTTGGAAGCTTAGTTGTAAATCCATCAGTTTCTTTATTAAAATGAGATAGTCAACACATCAATTTCGAAAAGATGTGCCAACAAAAAATGCAAATTACAGACCGTTGGAGTACGGACATGCGTAACAGCAATATATGACCGCAATAAAATATCAGCATATAAAAAAAGAAAAGAGCTATGAAAAAGTGCTTGCAAACTTATTTTGAAAAAAACCAAAAAAAACCCCAAAACCCAAATCCCATAGAGCTATGGATAAAAATTATAACCATTAAAACAATTTAACAACTTAAGATGAAGTTTCTTTATCTTTTCATGTGGCTGTAGATAAAATCAACTTACAAAAGTATAATCATATTGCATGAAAGGTAATTTGTTTAATGATTCTTTATCTACTAAGTTTTCGGATATCAATTTTCTCCTGAAATATACAAAGAATAAGATGACCAATGTTTGAATAAAATTTTCAAAATAATACTTCACGTTTTTAGTATCAGGGATCATTTTGGGAAAAAAAACAAGATTTCAGCCCAGTCATAATTTAGCCTATTTCAATACATATTGTTAAATAATAAGGGTATAAAATGAAATATATTCAAATATTGTGCCAAACAAATTTAATATGTCACTAATATTTGTGCAAAATATAAATCTGGGGAAAAAATATATTATTAATTAACCTATTTAGACATATGAGGAAAATTTATGCCCTTCACACCAGAGTCTAGAAGCAACTGTTCCCCATTGAAGACATAAATATCACCCAGCATTTATTATAACTTCAATGGTGGAAAATGACTTATTAACCAAAGCTAGATCTAATGCAATTAATTGAACTCGCTTGTTCAACATACACCATTTTAAATTGTTCAATAAAACAATACACTTACCGTATATCTACACCTCTGACATGATTACTTAACATATTTTCTAGTTTGTATGCTGGAATGTGTTTCTTCTCTACTAACATTAAAATTTCATCATCTGTTAAACTATTAGGACCATCCTAAAAATTAATCAATAGGATTAATAAAATATAATGGACTACTACCGGTACTTAATATTTGAAATTATTCTATTCGGCTTTAAGCTGCAAAATAAAATATACAAATACAGCACAGATAATCCAAAATGTCAAAAACAAGTTCCATCAATATGAACATTAACATATCTATCATATCATAATCATTATGGCTCTTTCAATGAAGTTTTTAGTTTTACTTACATCTGATTTCATTGTAACAAGACAATCATCTAGAGTACGTGGTGGAAGTGATGATTTAACAAGATCTAAGGGTTTAAAATCATACATAGTTTCTGTCTGTGTCTCTTTATCTTCTTTACTATCATAATCACCATCATCACTATCATCACCACCAATAATAAAGGATGCATCATGTTTAAAATCTTCTTCAGTCATTATTACTGGAATATGACCTGCCAAAATCAAAAGCAAATAATCAGATATAGTCAGGGTTACTAAAAAGTTCCTCAGGATTTTCCGGCTTATTTCCCATTGTCGGTGGTGCAGGATTCAGGACCTTGCCAAGATCAGCCTCTAGTCTTTTGGACGAGATGCAAAACCTAGGTCCCATGTGCATGTTGGAGTGCACGTAGAAGAACCCTTGCCGGTTGCAATTCGAAAATTAGTATGCTGCTGTGCCATTGTCTGGTCAAAATTTACCTCATAACACACTGCTCAGTTGGTGCAGAAAAGTAGAATGTTAAACCCTATTTTATTTCAGGTCAAATCAATTTGAAGTCACCCGGCAACTACTCCTATTTAAGGTGTAGAAAAATGGAACTTACCATTACTCTGTGACTTGGATTCATTATTAGTGTCTGAGCTAATATCACTATGAGACTGTAATAGTTTCTGGACTTCACGATCAACACTATCATCCATGAATACATACTTTATAGCTAATATAATAGCCAAACATAGCGTTATACTATATTCTGTATTGAAAGTAAGAAGCCTGAAAAATGAAACACATGAACACAATGAAAACTTAAAGCCTGATTAAACTACAGATCTATATTTCGTTTCTACTACATGAAAATCTGGCAAGTTGTAGTGGGAGGTCGTGTCGGGGGTCATACGAGCGGCTTTTGACCCCCATGACGTCAGAGATTTGATTAACCAATCAGGGTTGATGTTTCTAGTAGGATATCCACAGTTCCGCACATAGCACGTCAAGAACTTGCTGCAACAGACTGTTTCATTAGTTAATCCCTGACATCAACCAGAACACAGGTAATATACCAAGTCTTCCAGATCCTAGTGTAGTAAAGACAAGTAAAACGAAATGTTGAACTACAAAAAACGAAACAAAATCTGTGTTTTAATTAGATTGAGCTTCAACATGAGACAGAAAAGATTAAATATAGAGATTCTTTAAATAAAAAAAACATTTTGGTTTAAATCAATCAATCCTATAGCCATTGAGATTAATTTTCTCTGTAGATTTCACAACAATGAATAATAATTCTGCCATCTTTTTCGTACAAACCAGCTATACTTCATGCAGGTTTCTTTATACTTGGATAATTACATAATACCAACAGCTTTAACATGCACATTTTCTAAATATTCATTTGAGACATCAACTGCCTATTTAATTAAATTGTCATTACATCTTATTCTTCAATAATGTATTACTATTTAAAATGCAAATCTAAAAGCTATTTCACACCAATTTGACCTATCACTAGGCCTTCTAGCATTTCAAAACCTTAAGAACATGACAGGACATAGTAGAATTGCATTTAAGAGGAATAAAAAAAAAAACTTACTTGAAAAGATAAAATTGCCACAATGGCAGGTCAGGGTTGATTTGTTTATCCATAAAAACTTGTTCTGTTGATGGAAACCTAGCATCTAAAGTAGGATTGGTATTTGATGATGTAAATCCAGCAGAAAAACGACTGTGAGCATGTACTAACACTAATCCTGCAGACTAAACAAATGAATACACATATTAAGTCATTATCTGAAGATAGTCTTACTGGCTCAATTGTTTTACTACACTACCCCGTAAACAGCAAAAAAAAACCCCGTCAGTACGATTTCAAAATCAGAGAGGTACTTTAATCAAATCATTCTAGAAAACGACTTACTAAATGGATCAAAGTAATTTTTTGTGAACAGTATGTTGACACATTACTGACATTAGTGATTAATTCTTTACAATTCCAAGACATTACAAGAAGAGTCTGTACACAGTCTATACATCAGTATCTGGTGTGTTCACCGCAAGTGTCAATAACAGCAGCGCAGCGTCTGTACATGGAGTGGACCAGACGAATGATGAACGCCATTGGTACCTGGAACCACGCTCTCAGAAAATCCTGCCGCAATCCATCGGCTGTGGTTGGTCTCCAGTTGTTCAATCGGGTTTAATTCCGGACTAAGGACTGGCCAGTGCATAACATTGACACTGTTCTGCTGTAGAAAGTCCCAAGTAACTCTGGCGGTGTGGGCACGGGCATTGTCATGCTGGTAAACGTGCGAAATGTGGTATGATGTGGGGTCTGAGAGCTTGATCGATGTAGCGCACTGCTGTGATGTCGCCTCCTCACCCTGGACCAAGATTTTGGAACACCACATGACCCACTCTCTGGTTCAGGCCGATTCCACCCCAAACCATTATGCTTGGACCTCCCCATGAGTCTCGTTCCATGACACATTGGTCAGAATAATGCTGGACACGTCGACGCCATATTCTGGTCCTGCCATCTGCAGTTGATATACGCAATACCGACTCTCATCTGTGAACAGAACAGTTCTCCATTGCCTGTGTCGACAGTTCTGGTGTTGTTGGGCAAACTGTAGACATCGATGGCGAGGGGTAAGGATCGGTCCACGGTAAGATGTACGGCGATGGATATTCTCTCTGGTAAGACGTCAGCTTACTGTATCGGTACTGATGGATCTTCTGTGTGTTTCCACTGTCTGACGTGCTGTCTCAGATGCCTGTGTGAAGGGATTCTGCACCTTGTGGTAACCCTTGGTCTACCAGTTCAGAGACGATCATCCATGGTGTTGGTGGCCCGAAAGCGTTGCTGAAGTCTGTAGATGGTCCGAACATTGACCTGGAAGTGATTGGCAACGGTTTGGGCAGTGTGGCCAGCATTGAGTCTTCCAAGCGCCTGGTTCCTTTGAGCTGTCGTAGGTCGTGACATGCTGCTGACGTTGTAATGTGAATGATTCAACCAGGTACGTGGGTGCATTTTATAGTGCTGGTTCCATTGAACAGCACTTGCAGCATGAGTTACATGAAAATCATAGAGAACACATTACCATCTCAGAAGTCAGGTTGTGATTTTGAGAACATTTCCTGGGTTCAATTCTGTGTTTGGGAAGGAGCCTTATTGCTAAGGCTGTGCAAAAATATCGATATAATCGATAATCGTTAGAAGTTATTTAGCGATACGATAATCGATATTCAAATATCGATTATCGGTATATTTACCTTCTGACGGCAAGTTACGGTCACTTTCACATGACTGAACTTGCTGTAGTCTGGCATTAGCAGACGAATGAATGAATACACAACGTCAACACAACTATTTCCCTCCTCTGCTTACAAACTGCCACATTTTAAATATATTATTGTAAAAAACTAAACTTTAAGATTAAATACATTATTTTAATATTTTCGTTGTTTTTGTTGTTATTACTAGTTGAAATTAAAATAGGTCACGCACTTTGTGAACAATGACAATCGCATGTGATATATAGTAAAATTAGAATTATCTTCTTCTTTGTTCTTGGTTGATTTGTAGAGAAATCGTCTGCTTTCAAGATAAAACTAATTGTATTATTAATGATCAACTCCGCTTTTATTACTAAATCATGTCAGATACAGCCCATACAAAACACGTTTTTGACTTCCAGGGAAAATATCTATATCTCTCGTAATTTCGTGGAAGAATTCTACTTTGGTTTTCATCTAAATTAACCAATCATAAAAATTCTACTTTGAAAGCCCGTAATTATTTTTTTATTGTCCAATCAATAGACGCCTTCTATTTTATTTTATTCTATTAGTAGTAACACTGTGTGATCGCCAGTCACTTGCAAAGAGAAACCATGTATTGTCTTTGTATTTATCTGAGATAAAAAAAGGTTCAAATGAATCAAGAACAGAACTTAGAATAATACTCAAGTTAGTCCTACATTTAGCAACTAATTATTTTACATTAATTGATTTTTTTACGTACATCGGCACAGTATTAGACTAGGATAATAACACTACTGTAACTCGATCAACACAAATAACAGGTCGGTAAAGTTCGAATTTTTCCGAAAAAAGATAATCGATTATTATCGATAATCGCTGACAAATTCTTGCCGATAATCGATATTGAAATTTCATATCGATTCCCAGCCTTACTTATTGCTCAGGTAAAGTTGGAGATGTGGTCACAAATATACAATAAAAACATTTGGCAAGTTTTATGCAATGCGTCTATTCAGAGTAACATACCAAACTGACGTTTCTTTTGCTGCTTAGTATATTATGTCACATGTGTTTCCAGACATAAGCCTGATAACACACGTCATGGCTAAAACATTTCCATAATTTCCTTTTCACACAGTAATAAATCATAAAAATATCTGCAAATGTTAAGTACTGGACATGTAATTGGACTTGCATCATTTACTCAGTTTCAAGGTTTTGTGGATTACAAGGTTTACGTATGATTCACATACTGTACAATCTCTTGATTGTCATCTACATGAAAATAAAATTTCTTACTGGCATAAAAATTCAATTAATCTAGAAATAAAATTCTATGTGCATAACTTACCATTATTATTTTAACTCTCTGAGTAACTGGATTAGGTTTTTTCTCTTCCTCTTCCTCTTGTAATATTTTTGATATTTTCTGTAATTGCCACAAAGGTTTTCCTTGATTTCTATCTCTTGACAACTTAAAAATAATAACATCAGTCAAGTATATTATTATCAATCAAATATTCTTTAGATTAATGCCCTTGGATAAATTAAATTTTCATTAAGGTTAAAGAATAAGAACATATGAATATTTACCTCTAAAACAAGGGCAAGGCAAGCTGGATAAAATGTCATAAAAGCTAAATAATTGGCAATAACGGAAAGACAACCAAAACAGCACATTGTTTCTAACTGTCTTAAACCTGCAGAAGAAAAAAAATAGAATTATTAAAATCTTATCCAAAAAATTTGCTAAATCACAACCACTCTCTACAAGTGAAATATTTTTAAGGACATGTATGAGAGAAGATCTAATATGAATAGAAGTTTGTTTGATCATGATGATTGGTTTAAACCTGTAAACAAACAATGCTCCACCCATCAAAAATACTTACAGGTTTAACCTGAGAGGAAAAGCTACATGTTATATGACACCTTGCTTGTTAGCACATCAGTAAAAAAGACCTAAGTTGTTGAGAATATCTGTGGTTAAAATTGAAAATTGTATCCCCATGATAAGCTTAAATAAGCTTATATGGATAGTAAGCTTAGACATTCCACTTAACCTACTAACTTGCATGAAATAAAATTCCATATTGGAACATACCTGACAGTGTTCCTACACCTATGACTAGTGTTTCGACGATTGCATCTAATGTTATAGAAGGTCCTATAATAGCCATTCCTTTAGCTATATTATCTTTTACTTCTTCAGGAGAAGACGAACTTAGGGCAAATCTTGCCAAGGCACTAGCTTTAGACAAATCAATGAGTAATAAAAAAAATGGAAGAGCTTCACTGAAAAACCAAGAAAAATATCAAATATATAACATATATTCATACTAATATTAATGCTTCATCAATAAATCAGAACAGGCCAGATTGATAATATTTTAAAATGCTCCATCAATAAAGCAGAGCAGGAAAGATTGATAGAGATGTTTAATTTCTGGAGAAAAATGCTTTTTAATAAAGAAAAAACTTTTGATTGTATAAATCTTTACCAGCATATTCTGGCACATTCATACCTCAGTACTTTAAGAGTCTTGCATTCTAAACTTGTTGATTTCTTACTGTATATAAAATCAATCTGCTATTCTGTCAGAGGAACAAATAGGATTGAAGGGGGATAACTCTTGCTACATTACCCTAACATCATATTATCTCCCCTTAGACCACAAAAATTCAATTATATCTACTATTAGTAGGGCTGTCAAAAAATATTGCTATTATTGCAATACGATCGTCCGCGATAAACTGAATCAATACATTTTTGCCATATTGATATCTTTCTACATTTATTTTACATCAAATGTTAGACTTTATAAAGACTTCATAATCAGTCATATTATTTAGGCTTTGTAATAAACAATAAGTCTGCAAAGACAAGACCCAAGTTGTAAAAACCAATAAAGTGAAATGTGTATTCACATAAACAGTCATATTATAGGCCTTGCAGTAAACGATAAGTGTAAAATCAATAAAACCATTCAAAATAAAACTGTGATAAACCCTGACTTTATCAAAGTATTGCAATACTGCAATATATCGCATACGATTCTTGGCCACAATACACAGCCCTAACTATTAGTTTTGGTCACCCACCACCTCCTAGTCTTCAATGTATGGAGGGTCTGGGACCATTGTCAATATCTGACGAAAGTTCCATTGTCCATGCCTAGCAGGAGGTTTTTTTTTTTTTATATTTATATGGTTGATTATCCAGTATTTTGGCCAAGTCAAGTAAGAGTTGCACTCCTTCCCGCAATAAATCCCACAATTCTTGCAATAATATAAACAAACATGAATCGTGACGACGAATTAGGATTAATTAAAAAAAAAAAAAAAATATAGATATGGTCCACGAAGAAAGAAATTTTACAATAAAAAAAAAAAATAAGATTGTTGAATATTGAAGTGCCAATGAAATCAAATGGATTTTCTGAAATGGCATTAAATTAATTTCGTGGGCGGCAACATCATGTTTTAAGACTAGTTACCTCCCTTAGACTTTGATAATGTAAAATACTGGTATTGGTAATCCAGCCAGTTGACAATGCATCAACGCATCCAAACGAATATTCATAGAATACTTTTCTGGATGATAGAGGCTAATCTACTATGTACAAAATTCAAGTATATCAGCCAATGAATCATGCAAATTCCTTTCCTAGTAGACAGCAAATTTCGTAAATGGAGTTAGATTTAAAATTCGAAAAATGCAGTCTCCCATCATGGGCGCCAACATCTGAATTTAAGACTAGTTACCTCAGACTTTGTTTATGATAATGTAAAAGACTGGTTAATCTAGCCAATCTCCCATTATTCTAAAATGTTGACAATGCAACAACACATCGGACTAATATCCATAGAATATTTTTCTGTATGATAGAGACTAATCTACTCAGTACAAAATTCAAGTCTATCAGCCAATGAATCATATGCAAATTCCATTCCTTCTTGACAGCAAATTTCGTAAATGGAAAAAATGCAATGAAGGTCTTGGATGATATACAGTTATTTTACAATCTGGTTAAAACACAGATCCTATTTCGTTTCGTTTTTATAGTTCAAAATTTCGTTTTACTTGTCTTTACTACACTTGGATCTGGAAGAGTTGTTATTTAACTCGTGTTCTGAATGGCGTCAGGGATAAGCCAATGAAACGGTCCGTTACGGCAAGCTTTAGGCGTGTTTTTCAAGGAACTGTGGGTAATCCACTAGTAACATCAATGCTAATTGGTTAATCAAATGTCGGACGTCATAGGGTAATAAGTCGGTCTTTTGACCCCTGTCATGACCTATCGCAATAACTTGTCAGATCTTCATGTAGTGTAGGCCATCGAAAGTATAAAAAAACGAAACGAAATATAGATCTGTAATTTAATCAGATTGAGTTATTTTACGAAAACTACTCCTGGCTAATTCAGTAAAAGTTTCAAAACACAATTTAATTTCTATTGGGATGAGTTGCTATTTTCCTTTGTTAATAAATGATGTATCTTAAAATTTGGAATAGATGTATATGAACATATGCACTTACTCAAGTCCTGTTAAATCATTGCCAAGTAGATGAATAACAGCCATGCTGAACACAAAACTAGAAAAAATGGTGAACACTCCAGAAATACCTACAGAAAAGAAAAAAGTAGCTTTATAAATTCTAAATATATCATGAAAATCTGTCCAAAATCAAATCTAAGTTTGCATATAAAAAATATTGAATTTTAAAGATGGGTTCCCAGAAAAGTATTTATCGGGTGGTTATTTCCAATAAAAGTATAGTAATTTTGGTATATATGGAAAGTAGAGATACCCAATCTTACTAGAAAAATACTGGATTCCCCGAAAAACACTCATGGAGCGTATACAGGACAAAAATGTAAGAGTTCGGCTAATCAACAGCCTGACGATTAGGAATTTCTGCACGCATGATGTCAAAGGTCACACGCGAACATTGAGCGCTTGATGTAAGTTGATAAACTTTATGAAGAGTTAGACATACAACAATTTCTGAGATAAAAATGACGGAAAAAGACACGGGTAGTGGATAATCCGAGAATTTAATTAGGATTTGATATTTGTAATAAATAGTAAGCGACAAAAGACAACCTCGGCTTATGTATGCAATGAATTCTCTTCTGATTTCCAAGAGAGGTAAGTCACGTGACGTAAACATGACCTGGTTTGATCGAATTTTTATAGCAGGACATTCCTTCGCAATTACAATGTTTGAGAAGGATTTGAAGCAAAGTTATGACAAATTAATTAGTTTAAATATATTTTAGTCCATATATACCATTAAATCACCCAGTTTGTACGCGGGAAGACATCTTTAAGGTACAAGTATTACTAACCTAAAAGGTACTTGGAACCTAGACGTCGTAAATTTCTAAATTGAAGATAAATATAAATTACAGCAAGACATCTAGTTATTGTCATTATAATAAGATCTGAACTCTTTACATCAGGCTGAAAAAAAAAATATAATATCATAGACAAAATATAATAATACACCACACCAGACCTAATATCACTACTAGTATGAAGATCAAACCATGCAATCAAATTTATCCTTTCTCAGTGTACTATCTTTGGGGTCTAGAGACATTAATTAATGTATTTGTTCAGCTCAAATTCTTATCATATTTCTATTGTTATTTCAAAGCAACATCAATATTTTTCTTTAGCCACTATACTACCCAGTTACAACCCTGGGGCCTGTTTCACGAAATTTTAACTCAGATAAAATCCAAATTTTTGTCATTTGATTGGATAATATAAGATTGATTTTAGTGCTTAGCCTATCAAAATTGAAATATCTACTAAAATTTGGATTTTATCTTTGGTTAAGATTTCGAGAAACAGGGCTCAGTTCTTTTTTCTAAATTTGGAGTCACAGTGGCTAATTAACAATGGCTCTGTAAGTAAGGCGCTGGATCATTAACTAAGAGGTCTGGGGTTCGATCCCGACGTTGGTCGAGATAGTTCCCAGGATCCTCATCATGGTTTCCCCCCTTGTACACTGGTGGAGGATGGAGAGCATGGCAAGGAAAAGTGTGTAATCATTCGAATGGGACAAAAAAAAAGATGTTCTCTATGTACATATTGACATGAACGTAAAAGAAACCTTGACTGTTCGGAGTTCAATTACTGTCCAGGCAACATTTACTTCAATAGCTCGGTTAGTGCAGAAAAGTAGGACGTTACACCCCATTTCATTTGTTTTTCCTGACTTAAGTTTCTTATTGAAATGGATTTACAACTTTTAAGTAGATTGATTTATCTGAATATTTTATCTTAAAAAGCAAATCAAGTGAGAACAATATTACATATAGTCAGTCAGTGGTTACTATATACATTACCGCAAGTTCACACCAATCAGCAATCTGATTAAAATTATTCAACATATTATAATGTTTTCATATGTCCGATAATTAAACGTTAACTTTTAACGGACACGCAGACAGAAGTGACGACAATATACGTCTACATGGAAATTGGAAATGTGGCCGTATGGAAATGTCTGACAATGGATAAACCACGAGTAGGCACATGCGGCATATTTTTTATGACTTGTGTGGAAGGTTGGGCCCGAGGAAGGGAGGCGTAAAACAAATTCTAAATAGGATCTAAAATTAAAATAAATTACAAATCACATTATCCCTAGTTAATTGTTTTATTTAATTAGGGGATTAAGGAATCAGTCAGGCATTAATGAGTACACATCACGGTGTGTATAGGTAATTATGGAATATTTGGCAAAGTCGTTTTTACAGCAGGTCTATATTTGCGACTTTAACTGAAGATAGCTTGATTAATATTATTCATATTGGTGTGTACTTGCCGTAACGTGTATATAGTAACCACTGGCTATATATACATACATATAATATTGTTTTCTCACTTGATGTGCTCTTTAATTAATTGAATAATTCTTCAAGTAAAATACATGTACATCTCAAATTCACATTAAAGTTTATAGTCTACTTACATTCAGTTGTAAATCTTCGTGAGGACAAATATAATTCCAGCCACATACTTTTTCTGAGCTTGTAAATAAACTCATGGACATTAGACATAGTGTAATGGTGACTGTTCCTATTATAACCTCCCATGGATGGGAGGCACAGAATTGACCATGAGCCCTGAATAACCCGGACAACATGGTGACACTACCAGGAGCGAACTGAGGTATTAACTGAAAAGAAAAGAAAATATTAAGCTTATAATAAATGCAAAATAATTTTCATTCCATCAATTTTATAAGTTAAGTTAGTAAAAAAAAAATTTAAAAAAAAAATGAATGTTACACAGTGGTACAAATTTTATTTTCCTTCCCATGCCACTTTTTGTTCTACGTGTTCAGGTTTCTTTTTTTTTATATTTTATAATCACTATTAGTTAGATCAATTTTTAACATATTAGCTCAGTTTAGTGGTGTTCTATGTATTTCTTTGTTAAGAGAACAATAATATGATTGTAAAATTTTTATTTTACATTGCACTGGTTGCTATATCAACGGAAAAACTTTGTCAAACAGCTATATTTGTTTCTCTAACAAACAGTTTTAAGCTTAGACTTCTTCAATTTATTTGAGTTTTATTGATGTTTTAAACAAAGAAATAACACAGTATTGTAATGCATTATAACATACATGTAGGAGAAAAGAATCAAAATAGAATCAATCATAATACATTACAAAAATATTTTCTTAAGATTAGAAAAAAGTTTTCTTAGGCTCTTATATATTGCTTGGCATCTTTAACTGTTGATTTCCACAATGTTTTTAAGAGTATAAAAAAAACAAGCCAACAGTGAGGCTGATGTCCCTCCCAAAATCCCAAAATAAATAGATGGCACATATTGATTATTTGCACATTTATCTTTTTTTAAAAGTATTGAGCAATCAAACTGATTATCTATACTTAGTCTAAGCATAAAATGTTCACGATCAAACTCAGTTAAGTTTTTGAAGTACCTGGTAGTGAAACTATAAGTTTCATCACTCTCCATCAGTTAGAATCAAAGTTGTCTTGTCCCAAAGCATCGACCAATGAAATTGCTTAGTTTTAGTGGGAAATGCTCATCTTCAAACTAAAGTTATCGTGTCCCAAAGCATCAATCAATCAAATGGCTTGTCTCTGCTTACCCTATGCAGAAAATGCTCATCTTCGAACTCCATCAAAGTATTCACCTGGTAAACACTAACACTAAGTTTGAACATTCTATCTCAATTAGAAGGAGAGTTATTGTGTCCCAAAAAGTGTGACGGACGGACAGGCAGGCAGATCCATTTTAATAGTCCCCTGCTTTCTACGAAAGGCGGGGGACAAAAAAACCCATGTTAGTAATACATTCAAGAATAGTGACAACAGATTTAAATCTACAGGATTCAAAAAAATACTTCAACACCATTAACCTTGGCAATATGACCAATATTTCTAAAGAAGCTATTATTATAACAATTAACAAGCAACTGAAACATCTTCAACTAAGGGCTTACCCAGTACTACAATAAGTGATTTCTGAACCCGTGGGTGTAAAATTGGTCTATACACTGTATTATTTTGTCTTGAAAACATTTTAGTTGTCACATTTTACAGACATTTGCTGGAATTTTCATATGGAACCAACACTTTTTTTGCTGAATTTAAAATTAGTTTAGATTTAGTTGCACAGATTGCCATATCTGCCAAAATACATGTTTATAAGACCCTTTTATTTTATTTTGAAATCTTTACATCATCCAAATTTTCACATGGTCACCATTAATCAGTATAACGAGCAACTTCATGTATCTATCATAATATACAATTATATTGTCATTGAAATCAAGTTTAATCAAAAATTGCTTCTTACTACCAGCCTGCTGTACGTAAAAATGCCTCAAAAGGTTTTTTCTTGACAAGATCTTGTATTTGTAAAGATGAAAGATTTTTTTTTAGCCTACCTTTATCCCTTTATTTATTTCAATTTTCAAAATATTAACCATATTTAACATGCAATAAAAGAACCAGAGAAGGTGCAGAGCATCAATCCTGTTTGCATCCATTATTCGTCATTGCCGGCTTACTGACAAAATAAGTAGCTGTCAGACTTTGACCAGCTGATAGCACAAAACGCCTGATTGCATCTAAAATTTTCTAATTAAACATGTAACTTGCATTGAAATTAAGCTATTAATATTAATTGATTGTAAATTAACATCCATATTTATGTATTCAGAAATTCATCGTATATTATGAATTAATTTTTCAAGAGCTGTATTTAAAGATCGTGTAGATTCACAAGTTTTTACTGCCCACAATATTCCCCAAGAGGATGTCATAATTGGCAACATGTAATAATGTTACTTGTGCTACCTTGTAGTCTACACACTGCACACCATATGGATCACAGATTGCAATTTTCGCTCCTGTTCCATAACAGGTCACTACAAATTATATACAAGCCTTATTTATCGAATCTTGTATTCAATTTCAATTCAATATACATGTACCAATACATAATGTATGTTTAATAATTTAGAACACATTTTAGGCCTAAGAAAGACCTGCAATAGGCGACAGATTTAGCTCTTGCATAATGTATGTTTAATAACATTTTATTATTAACTTTAATCAATGAAATTTATATTAATTTAACTTCTTTCGTTTGATTCGTTACAATATACATTTATCCCTAACTATACATGTATCTTTAATCTTATTTGTTGAAACAATTGTCCTTATGTCTGTATGCAAATTAGTTTCTTTAAAAAAACAAACCTACACAGACATTAGGAGACATGAAATCAAGAGATGAGAGGAGAGATAGGGCTAAGACATTACCCCTTTGATATGACCTTGTAAGTTGTATATAATGTATATTTAACTGTATAAAGGAATATTGAAACGGATTTGGAATTGGACTTTTAATGCACAGTGACCACCTTCACCAGAATACTGCCCATCAGTAATGAACTACACCCACCCCCCACTCATAGCTCATCCATATGTATCACCTGGGTGCGTATTCAAACATAGAATAGCCCTGATTTAATGGTTTGAACAAAGACATTTAAGAACAGATTGGAAATACAAGTGGATTCCTAGATTTGGTTCATATGAGATCAGAGAATTAGTTTGGTAAGTTAAATCAACTATTTCTTGTACCATTCTCGAAAATTTACATTTAGTGTATGTGTGACAATAAAATCAGCCTGCTTAGCCTTAGCGGGAAATGTTAATCATTGAACTCAGTCAAGACATTCATCTAATGAACGCTTACACCAAGTTTGAACATTCCACCTCAGTTAGGAGAAGAGTTATTGTGTATCAAAACATCGACCAACGAAATTGCTTATCTCTGCTTACCCTAAGCAGAAAATGCTCATCTTGAACTCCATCAAGGCATTCACTTAATAAACAACTACACCAAGTTTGAACATTCTAGCTCAATTAGAAGGCGAGATATTGTGTCCCAAAAAGTGTGACAGACAGACAAACACATTTTAATAGTCCCCTGCCTTTGTTAAAGCTAAAGGCATAACAAAATTTAACATGATATTGATAAGAGCATGAATTACTTACAAAAAACGTACACAAATAATGGAAATAAATGGTATACCCAATATGTCATATAAAATTTTCACAACCATGAAACAAAACTATATATTGTACATCAGCATGGAAGTAACTTCGTTGGGAAAATATTATTCAAAATAAAATCAGCATATCAAATTATGTAGTCAAAATGTCCATTCCGTTACATGGTAAAACTGCTCATTCTCAACATTGAACTTTAGAATATCCTTTTAAAATTGAAAGGTCAGTAAAAATTTAAAGTGCTTTTTAATTAGCCATCCAATATATGGGGAATAAAATGTCCTATTAACTATTCAAAAAAGAAATAGAAATCGACTATATCAAATACTGTTTCTGTCAAAATTTTGAGAGAGAGGGAGAGAGAAATGGGGTTTAACGTCCACTCGACACAAACTAGGTTATTTCGGGACTAACATATGGTTCAATTTTTTATTTCAATAATTCGCTTGCGCAGAGGGTTCTTTAGCAGTGGGAGGAAATCGGAGGATCTGGAGAAAACCCACGAGGTTGGACAGGCGACCCTACTCCTTGTCACGTACAACCAGGAAAGTGAAACCACGTCAGTTTTGACTCAATGACAGACCTTATGATACAACGTGCACGCACTAACCATTCGGCCATCAAACCCCCCATCAAAATTTTGCAAACAATTTGTCTTCTCCATTAATGCTTTGTTACTGAGTTAGCCATATGTCACATTATCAAGTTTGTCACTAGCAGGGCTGTTGGTAATTTTTCACAGTTGATTACAGATTAGCATCACTGCTAATCATAGGTCCAATTTTGGCAAAATTGATTAGCAAATTTAGAAATTGATTAGCAGTTTTTCAGTTTCAACATAAAACACCCAAATAACAAGATATACATATAACAATTGATTAGATTTCATTCTTAGATGTTTTTAGCACTTCTAGAGGTAGCTGTGACAGTTTGTGAATGTGATGTGGACTTTTGGTTAGGTCTTATGTCTGAAGCCCCACTCATTTTAATTGTTATTTCTTTATAACGTTAGAAATCTTTGTTAGAAAACAATTTTGTCTGCCTTTTAATAAGTTTTATCGCGTGTTACTATTTTTGTTCAAGCGGAAATTAACGAATAAGCTAGATTAACTAGACACACACGATATAAACAATAATATTTTACAGGAATTCTTACTTTCATTTTTCATTTTACAATAGTTTACATGTATTTATCTTTTTATATTTTATTTACAATACGTGGGGGATATACTGGATTTATATTTTTCAAATTGAATACTGATATAATTGACATGTCTCGCAACATGAGTTGTATTACTTGGTTCCTTATTTCCAGTTTAATAGTCCCTATTTATAGAGTTATGTCCCCGTATTATATAGTATGATGAATTGTGTCTGGGTAGTTCCAGAAGAAAATGTCACACGGAGAATTCAGTTTTGTTTATAAAATTTTATTTGACATCATTCATACACGTTGAAAGTGTTGAGTTTAACCTACTAGTCTTCAAAATGTGGATTAATCTTCATGTCAATATCCAAAATGACAGGCATATTAATGATTCGCAGTTACTGCAAATCAAAAACGTTAAGATTTTACTTTTTGATTAGCAACAGACAAAATATGTATCGCCAA